CTCCGCCCCCCCCCCCCTTTTTCTAGTCTGCCCATCTCCATTTAGCACCCCGCTCCTGCAGGAGTTTTCAATCGCCCCTTTTGCCTCAAGTAACGACTGCTCCCGCAGGAACCTCATCTGTATTTCCCTACTGCCACAGCAGCATCTGCTCCCGCAGGAGCCATAGCTGTATTTTCCCCAACGCCCACCATTCCCCCTCTCTTCTTTTTTCCGCTCCCGGAGCCACCCCAAGCGTGAGCACGCCTCCGCTCTGCAGCAGTGTCGGCTCCCGCAGGAGCCTTCTCCCTATTTTCCCCACTGCCGCAGCAGTGTCTGCTCCCACAGGAGCCCTATCTGTATTTCCCACTGCCGCAGCAGTGTCTGCTCCCGCAGGAGCCTTTTCTGTATTTCCCCACTGCCGCAGCAGTGTCTGCTCCCGCAGGAGCCTTCTCTGGATTTCCCCACTGCCGCAGCAGTTTCTGCTCCCGCAGGAGCCTATCTGTATTTCCCCACTGCCGCAGCAGTGACCGCTCCCACAAGAGCCAGCCCATCCCGTTCAGTCGAACCCTTGACCCACCATAGCCAACCCCCTTAACATCACATAATCCATCCACAATGGCCCATCAAGCCATTCCAACAGCACCCCGCTCCCGCAGGAGCTTTACCTGTTTTTCCCCACTGCCGCAGCAGTGTCCGCTCCCGCAGGAGCCTTCTCTGGATTTCCCCACTGCCGCAGCAGTGTCCGCTCCCGCAGGAGCCTTCTCTGGATTTCCCCACTGCCGCAGCAGTGTCCGCTCCCGCAGGAGCCTTTTCTGTATTTCCCCACTGCCGCAGCAGTGTCTGCTCTAGCAGGAGCCTTTTCTGTATTTCCACACTGCCACAGTAGTGACTGCTCCCGCAGGAGCCTTCTCCCTATTTTCCCCACTGTCGCAGCAGTGTCTGCTCCAGCAGGAGCCTTTTCTGTATTTCCACACTGCCACAGTAGTGACCGCTCCCGCAGGAGCCTTCTCCCTATTTTCCCCACTGCCGCAGCAGTGACTGCTCCCGCAGGAGCCTTTTCTGTATTTCCACCCTGCCACAGTAGTGACTGCTCCCGCAGGAGCCTTTTCTGTATTTCCACCCTGCCACAGTAGTGACTGCTCCCGCAGGAGCCTTTTCTGTATTTCCACCCTGCCACAGTAGTGACTGCTCCCGCAGGAGCCTTTTCTGTATTTCCACCCTGCCACAGTAGTGACTGCTCCCGCAGGAGCCTTTTCTGTATTTCTCCTCTGCCGCAGTAGTGACCGCTCCCGCCGGAGCCTTTTTCTATCTTATCTTATCTTATCTACCTCTCTCTTTCAGCACAGAACGCTTCCACAAAACCTAAACCTTCCTAGTTACTGCCGCAATAAATGTTCACCAAAGGACGTCCAGCACCCCTCTAACATTAAGCCTTGTTTTGGGGGGTCGTAAATGCACGTATCTGGCTGCTGTCCTGTTTTAAATTGCTTTTTGGGGGAGCGCTTTCGGGCCAGGCTGAACACCGAGCTCGGACCCCTCTCCCCGGACAGTGGGGGGTGCCCCGGGCTCAGGAGTCTTGCCAAGCTCGGAGCCCTCTCCCTGGACAGCACGCCAAATATGCATAACCTTTATTAATTATAAGAAAGTGTGAACTCGTGAAAGAGTCTAAAATAAAAGCACTGAAGACCTGCACTCCACATTTAAAGAAAAAAGAGATGTTCATGGATATGGGTTGACCGATAGTCCTAGCAGGTATTGGGCAGAGGCTGGAGAGTCTTCTGCAGTCAGGACTGCCTGAGCTAGCCCCTACTCCGGCCAAGTCAACCCTTGATGTTTGTCTGCATCAACAGACACTGGGCCTGAAAACATTCAGTGACTGGGGTCCAGTCATCAAAAGGCACTCCAGTTAAGCCGTCCATCCCAAGAAAGACTTAGGAAATAACAATTAAGACACATAAAAGTGCATCTACCAGTAATAAATTCACTTGTGTGTGTGTGCGTGTTTTTATGTGTGTGTTTTTTTCAGGGGCTGCCAAGGCCAGACTCCCATTTCTGCGTGACAGTAATGTCAGGTTAAATAATGCAGCCAAGCACAAAAATAATAAAAAGCAATTACTTCTTAAGATGTTGTTTAGTGTTGTCCATTTTTTAGGAATTTGCGTGCTTTGTATTAGTATATGTTTTGCCCTGACTTGCGCTGTTAAGACTGTCATGTTGTAGTATCCTATACTGGAGTGTTAGAAAATGTACTACAGTAATGGCTAAAGTAATTTGTCTATATTACTATAGTAGAATTACTACAGAAAATTACCATTCATAAGTTGCAATTTACTATAGTACCTTTATGGTTCAAAACACAATAGTATTTACTATGGAAATTTTACTACATTTTATTTAATTAATTTACTATAGTATTTTTTTCATGTGGGTAGCCTGGGATCTGTGAATTTATCTTCAACTTGCAAAATATTTTGAAAACATTTTTTGAACAGCAGATGGGAGCAAATAAAGACAAAACACAATTAACAAGACAGATTTTAAATGCTTTCTCTACATGCCCTCTTGACTCACACTCGCTGATTCTGACACTAAAAAGGCAGACCTGTCGAGTTTGTAATGTTTTGTGACATAAAATTTGTTTTTACCTGAAAGCTTAATTTGCAGATATCATTTGCAGCTATACTAAAAAAAAAAACTAAATACAAATAAAAAGCAAGTAACACATTGAAGTGGAATCACTGAAATTATATTTCTTTTAAAACCCAGTACGCTAATAGTTGTTGAACCGTCTCAATTTACTACTTCGAGATCTTTTTTTTTTTTTACATTGGGGTTATCTAAGTTTTATTCCTCCAGGGATATATAGCCTAAACAAAAACGACAAACTGTTTTTCTTTCATTGTAATATATATTCCTCATTGCCATATTTATTTGAAAGTGTGTTTCTCGTTTTGCAATTTTCAATTTTAGCATCTATTGATATAGTCTATTACTGTTAAGTCTGCTGATAACTATAGTATCATATTTTATAACATTTAATATAATGTGCATTTAAATTACACCTGAGCGATAAAGCTATCAATAAAGTTTATCCACATGATAAGTAAGCATGACTTGCACTTTCTTTTGTTTCTTTTGTATCCGGTTTAGAGGAGGAGCAGCTGCGCGCTGTGCAAATACGGAACATTCCAGAAAATAACATTTCAAAGCTCAACAGCAGACCCTTTATTTCGTGATTTAACGGCAGACTACAGAAACCCACAATGTCCAAAAGAGTGAGATTGAGGTCTCTGCAGAGCAAAAGTGGGCGTTTCTGAATTTGTGGGTGTTTGCAAACTGCAGGGTGTTTCTCAATCATGCAATCAAAATGATCCCCCATTGCCTAACCCCACCCCTAAACCTACCGTCACTATGACGTCAGCCAATCAGGAAACATGGTCTAAAAACGCCCCGATCTGGTAACTCCCATTACTTTGCTGCAGAGACCTGTAATTGAAAAGAGTGGCTGTAGTTACAGGGGCAAATAAAGGCATCGGACTGGCGATTGTTTAAGGGCTGTGCAAAGCAGGTTTCAATGGAGATATTGTCCTTACTGCACGGAATGAGAAACTGGGACAAGAGGCGGTTGCTGGACTGCAATCTGAAGGATGCTTCATAATCTTCTATGAACTTGATATATGTGACCAAGGAAGCTCTCTGAAACTGAAAAAGTTTCTGGAGAAGTACAGCGGCCTCGATGTTCTTATCAACAACGCGGGAATTGCCTTCAAACGTTAGTTTTGAATGACCTGTTATTCAACAGAGAAGTGTCAAAGAACAATTAAAACATTACATAATAAAACATTGTATATATAATAGCTGTAACTTAATTCGTAAAGGATAATGAACTGCTAGCTGTTCTCGGCATCGCGTCGGGTGGTTCTCAGCCTACACGTCGTGCATTAAAATCGTTTGATGCACAGCTAGCTGTGCATTATCCCGCTTATACCATGATCAATTTGCCAGCATTGAAAAGTAAAAGCTGTTGTTTGATTGTTTGAATGATGTCTGCAGTGCAATATTTGACCGGAAGGGTAAAAATGATGGTTATTTTCGTCAGTTACGGCTCGTTAGCTCTATAGCAAATCAGACAGAGATTAGCTGTGTGATTCGTTGTGAAAGCTAAACTACTTTGCTTGGCCTTTCAAAAGAGGACGATATCTGCTTCGTCATGCCTAGAGCTGATCCGTGCTGGTCCCTGAGGAAATACATCAACTTCGCGCTGTGGATCGCCGGATCGTCTTTCACCGTGGATGAAGCGGAGTCCTGCCCAGGGTCGTCACATGTGGTTGCCGCAAGCCCTCCGGCCGCACCGTTCTCAAGCCCACCGGCCTCCGCTCACTGTAGGCCGCCGCCGCTCACTCTAGCCCGCCGTGTGTGATGCTATGTTTCGTTGTGAAAGCGAAACTACTTTGTTTGGCCTTCCAAAAGAGGACACGACTAGAAATCAGTGGTTAAGTTGTATTTACAACACTGTTCCAGAACACTTCAACCCAAATATTCAGATGTGTGCAGCACATTTTATGGAGGACTGTTTCCTGATCCTGGTAGAGTAGACTACAATGCCGACTGTTCTGACTCACAGACTGTAAGTACGTTTTTTTATATTTAAAGAATTTGCCACTGATGATTCAAACGCAAGTTTTGGGCAGTGTAGAGTAGCGCTTGTTGTTTGTCATTTCTCCGATCACAAATGCAGACATGGCTTTATGTTCACGCGGCGCGATGCGATGCAACGAGTAAAAAGACAGTATGTTATTATAATCCGTAATTATGTCCCCACTGGATGCAACAAATGCCTCGTTTATAATGGGTTTTAATGTTTTTGTCCCGTTGTTCACTGACGAGCTGCGCAAAACCACGTTCATAGTCGCAATTTTTTGCGATGCTCGTTTGCGACGCGTTTCAGAAAGGCGGGGCATAGAGGAGAAACAATAATGTACAGTATGTGGAAAATAATGTGTTTTTTTTTTACCTTAAACCGCATACACACATTTCATTACACCAAATACACAAAATAATGTTCTTTTTAGCAACATCATATGACCCCTTTAAAAACCTCATTGCTGAGGAATATAAGGTGGCTATCGAATATGTAACTTAAGCTATTTCATCAATGTAAGTCGCGGGGCAGCGATGACAACAAGTTTCCTGTGTTCCTATGTTTGTGTGTGTGTTTGTGTCCATCAATTAAAGCAGTGCATTGATATAGAACGGTGATTAAACTGACTTGGAACTGCCTGTGCATTAAACTGTTTTAACGCATACCTGCCTGCCAATCAGAATCGAATACTTAGACAGATCATGGTATAAATTACAATAACATATTATGTTATAATATAATATTAATTATTGCAATATATATTGCACGTCTTTTGCAGTTTTGCGGCATGATACAAAGTTTTATAAATGTGCAGCTCAAGTTTTGATATTAACTTTTTAAAAACTGTAGACCTTGCGTGTTTTTTTTTCATTCTACTACTTTAGGAATTGGCTAAAATAGTGTTTTTAACATATATTATATTATATTATGATGGTCATACATCATTCTGTGCTAAAATCCTTGCAACATTCTGTTATGTAAGAGGCCATTCACACAGAAAGCATTTTTCAATTCCATTGCAATGTTTCCAGTTGTTTTCCCAATTGATTTCAGCTTTTAAAAAACATCTCTAGACCTTACTCTTTTTTTCTTTTTTCTTTTCACTGCCCTGCATCTCGTGTTTTTAAACACAAAAACACATTTTATATCTTCTAGCAGAAGGATACCATTTGGCTTAATAAAATAAGCTTTTAATAAAAGTATTGTATTATATTATATTATATTATATTTTATATTTTATATTACAGCCATTTCAAATACTCTTCTTTTTCTAGATTCCGCAACAGAACCATTTGGAGAACAGGCTGAGGTGACTATGCGCACCAACTTCTGGGGAACTCTGTGGGTGTGTCATACTCTTCTGCCGATACTTCGACATAATGCTAGGGTGGTCAATGTGTCCAGCTTTGTTAGCAAGAAATCCCCTGACCAGTGCAGTCCTGAACTACAGGCAAAGTGTGTGAATATATTTTTATAATAAGTGATAAGGTGAAGTACACAGCATGCTGAGTATTTAATTTGTTTTTATGTTTACCTTTGGACAGATTCCGAAATAAAGATCTGTCAGAGGAGGAGTTGTGCCTGCTGATGGGAGAGTTTGTTCAGGCTGCACAGGCAGGGAATCATACGGCTCAGGGCTTGCCAAACACTGCCTATGGCACCACCAAAGTAACAAACATCTTTATTTGTCCCTGACATACTAAGGTGTCTGATTTGTTGGGTAGTGTGTTTTAGCAATAAGCAGGCCCAAACTAAACGTGTATTTGTTTTCTGTCTTTTTTAGATCGGTGTGACTGTGCTATCAAGGATCCAGGCTCGAGTTCTTACCGAGACAAGGCCAGGTGATGGTATCCTCTTGAATGCTTGTTGTCCAGGATGGGTGCGAACAGACATGGCTGGACCAAATGCTACCAAGAGTCCAGAGGAAGGCGCAGAAACGCCTGTTTATCTGGCAATGCTGCCTGAAGGAGCCAAAGAGCCGCATGGACAGCTAGTGTGGGACAAGACTGTACAGGAATGGTAGGGTGAAGAACAGGTGTCATCAGTTCATTCCATCTGAAAAGAATGTAATAATTACATCTGGAAGTGACTGACTTTTTCCAAAATATACTGACATGCTTACATGAAAACAATACTGTAAATTTTGACTTCTATGACATTAAATTACATTTAAAAAAGCTCTGACATGTACTTGCCACAGTTTTTTTGAATGTAAATGAGTGAATTATAGGGAAGATAAGAGCTCTCCATATCTTATTTTCAGTATCTGTTCAGTGTCTAGGGTCATTTTGTTTATCTAGCTGCAGTTCATCCACAGTCATACCCACCTCAACACTTATGATTACATGAAGTAAAACACCAGTGATTTTATGCAAGCTTTTGTTGGTGCAAGCTCTGCTCTTGATAAATCAAAGCCATCATAAAGAAATCTGTAAAACAATCCAGCTAATAAACTGGTATTGTAACTAGTACTAAAAGGTACAGTATCTTAAACCTTTTTGGACAGCAGAAAGTAGGCTAGTTATCACTGCAGTGAATGTAGTATAGGCTTTTTGTAATGTATCTGAACTATTACTCTACCAGCAGGTAGATTAGAGTTTGGCATATGTAATAAAACACTGCAATTAACTCTGGTAATCAAATCCCCACTCTCAGGGATCATGCTCACAATATTGCATTACTGAAGTCAATGATGTTTTCATTGAGAAACAAAAACCAAGATTACTTATTTCACTTTTTACTTTTTAAATAAATAAATGGACAGCCCTGATCTAACCACTTTAGAATCATGTCGAAGAACCTGTATTCATTTCCATTCATTTGTGGAAAGTGCAAATAGAACTAAAATAGCTTCACTCCAGTTGTTCCACTAGATGGCAGCATAGGACAAAAATCTAAAGAATATCCTCAAACTCTTTACCTCTCCTGTTGGGTAATTCCTGGGATTCGGTAACATTTCTGTCTCTCAGACTTTTTGAAGTGGTGGTTCACCAAAAAGTAAGTATTAAAAGCTTTTCACAATACTTTGGTATGACCATTATTATGAATAAAAATAATTACTGCATTTAAATATTTTTTTATCATAAAATAATCGATCTTATTTCTATTTCTATCTTACACCAAACATTTTGTCATGTCCCAATGAGGCAATTCACTGAGATTGTACTTAGAAAATTATTAACAAAATGTGCACAGTGTCTATAGTTTTTGGCAATAATGTAAGCATTTATTTATGTTCCTTGCTTTCTTGTGAAAAATATTTTATTAAAAAAAAAAAAAAACTTTAAAGTTATTTCCCTTAGTATGAACTCAACTTCGTCACACTTACCATTCTAGGCATATAATAATTTAGACTCCACCCATATGTGACATCATTTATCCAAAACGAATGTCATTCAGGTCTCTTTAATAGTGGTGCAGAAAATGGTTGTCAGGGAGGGTACAGTCAAGCTTAACAACATTTCCCCCGTCACATAAACTTAAGATGGAAAATTATTATTATTTTTTTCAACATTTAATTGTAATCCATAAGTATATACAATATACTTATTGTATTGCTGCCATATGTCTGCTCTCCTACACTACATGAGGAGCAGTGGCCGATTTGAGAGAAAAACCCCACTCAACCCCGACACAAATATATAGATTTCTCATTGTTTCTAGATTGTAAACTCGTGACAGGGTTATTTATGAGTTATTTAATAAATGTATTAATAATTTAATTTAAAAAATATAAAATAGTCTTGGTTTCAGTAAATATATAGCTACTTAACAAAATCATGAAAACTCGTATTTTTGTTATAAATACAATATTTGATGTAATATGTCCACTTAAACTTTGACAAGCATCCTACATCAGAAGTTGCACCCACATTAGTCGCAGAAAGACAGTGCTGGACATGCAGATATGTTGACCCAGAAAGGAGACGATATGAAAAAGAAACAAAACTGAAAGTTCAAATTGAAGGCAATGTATCCCTTCAAATGTGTTACAGTCTTCAACCCCGTACCTACTTGTTACATTAATATTTTTTTGCCAAGGATGAAAGCATTTCTTTCTGATTACCATCTGACATTTTAAGGACTAAAACAAAAAAATTCTAAACATCTAAATTAACAATATTTTTTATATTTTTTTACAAAAATAAAGAGACCATATACACACATTTTGTCTATTTTTAACTTCAGTCCCATAAAAACTGCAATATATATATGCAATATATGCATATATATGCAATATATACAAATGCTTTATATATATATATATATATATGTATATATATATATATGAAGAGTTCAGATGCAAAAGTCTCTAAGTGCCATCTGAAATGTTCTTCTAAAATTATCATTTTTATCAGGCTCCTATGTTTAGGTTCAGTAATTTTATTTTAATGGCAATGTATAGGTCCTTTTCTATGCCATTAAAGTGAAATAAATGAACATAAATATAGGAGTCTGATAAAAATGCTCATTTTACACTCTTAAAAATAAAGGTGCTTCACGATGCCATAGAAGAACCTTTTTGTCTAAAGGGTTCCATAAAGGACCTTTAACATCTGAAGAACCTTTCTGTTTCACAAAGGGTTCTTTGTGGCGAAAGAAGGTTCTTCAGATTATAAAAAGGTTAGAAAGAGATGTTTTTTTAAAGAACCTTTGACTGAATAGTTCTTTGTGGAACCAAAAATGGTTCTTCTATGGCATCGCTTGAAGAACCTTTTGAAGCACCTTTATTTTGAAGAGTGTAGATGAAAATTTCAGATGGCACTTAGAGGCTTTTGCTTCTGAACTCTTCATATATATATATATATATAGCAAACTGATATAAACATAATTCATCAGAATTCTGGATGACTCTAATTCTGTTATATTTTCAGTAACAGTAAAATAAATTACATAAAATGCAGTAATCTACCACACAGTGCACAAACTTTTAATTCACTTCCTTTATAAAAACAAACAACAACAAATAAAAAAGCCTTGCCAGCTGTGAAGCCACAACAAAATAGCTGGCAGGAAATTGTCTTTCCTGAACACCTGTAACAAATGTGGATTCTGGGAAAAACAGAGCAAGAACATGCACTAAAAACAATCAGTGGTGATCACAAATACAGTATACGGCAATAAAATGACACCAACAGCACAGACTTTCGAAAACCTGAACTACATTACAACGTTGCTTACTTTTGGAGCTAAAACATTGTGATATTAAAACACTTTTTTCTGTGTTTTCAGAGGGATTCATTACAACAACAACAAAAGTAATTTTAGAAAATAATTTAAAATAATTTGCAAGCACATATTTAAAAACAAGGAAGGTTTTTCAATGTCAACAGCATAATTAAGTAATAAGTAAGCAATGCTTGTTAACCTGCAAGTATATAAACAGTCTGCTGAAAACAGAACAGAGAAATATCATATTCCACTTAATACGGTAAACATGTGTCCAATAGTTTTTATATGCAAAATTTAATTCAGAATAATCTACACCTGAACTGTGATGAAAATTTTAAGTCACAATTTGATTTTCTGCTAAATAATAGTTAACACCTCTATATCAAACAATGAATATTACCACTTTTATGACAACATGCACAGCATATGTAGAGTGTTATTCTCAACATAAATGTACAACAGTATAAGACAATCAGTACATCTAAGTGTGGTACAGTGGAGTCAAGTAAAATGAAAAGGACAAGTTGACCAAACAACAGGAATAAACTAGTTCCCCTCAGAAAATACTGGGTTGCAATTGCATCAAAATGTTCCTCTCTTGATTTTGCTCATCAGGACCAAACAGATATAAGGCTTTCAGCAACACTTGCAGGTCTTCACAATCATATTTGACAGTTGTTCTACCTGGGGAAAGTTATAGTGAGCATTATTTAGATGATATTTCTGTTGACCACTGATGAAAGTGACATCAAAAACATCAATAAAATCTATTCTGACCTTATGTTGCCGGCCCACATAGTAAAGGATGGGCAGTGGGTCTAGAACCTGAGGTACACAGCAGGGTTGAGCAGATGCACCAGGATTGTGATGCCTATACAGCGCAAGAACCTGTAGGCAAAGAAAATTGGACAATATCAGACCCATATTTCCAGTCAGTCCAGTTCTAAAACATTTCAAAGCATCTGTCAGTCCTGATTCTTACCTGTGAGTACTTATTTTCTGAAGTCCAGACGAAAGAGCAAGAGCCAGTGCAATAGTTAGCATAATAACCAGAAGGTTCATGTATCCACTTCCAGCCCAGGTCTTTGCGGAAGTCAATGTACAGACTTCTCACACAGCAGCTGTCAGACTTACTGCATTTAACAGGAAGATGGCACACTGTAAGGCTTTTGATATAGAAAGTATAGCAATTTTACTTTATGTCGACTCATAAAAGGCTCACTCGGTACAAACTCGATCTGTTTCAGTTTGACGTTTTCTGCGAGATTTTGATGAGCTATGGCCATCAAGAGGAAGTGACATTACTAAAATGTGAGACCTTGGCATATGTTCTGATAAGGTTTCTGTGTCACCTCTTACACTAAACAAACCTGCAAACACAAAGAGAAATATTAGCTTGTTCTATCAACATCAACACAGGATTTCATTTTAATTCACAAACCTGCTATTCTGATTGGAAATGTCTTCTGAGGTTCACAGTTATCCCCCATCTTCAATTGAAATCTTTGCTCTGCCTCTATGAAACAAATTTTAGAGAAAGTTTTATTTTGTATACAATGCATATATGTAATAACACTTATTTTAAACAGATACATCACTCTTACAGTACCAGTGTTTTCTGTAATATAAAAAGTAAAATAATCATCTGAAGATGAACCTTCAAAATGTTGATCATCATCCTCAGGATGTCATGATGTAAATAGTTTTACTATTTTATTTATTTATTTATTTATTTTCATAATTATATTATTATTAAAACGGTTGCAATTTTTCAGCCCTGTTAGAAAAGTTTTTGGACATGTCTAAATACAGGTTAAAGCCCTGGTTTGTGTGTTTGTTTGTTTGTTTGTTTGTTTGTTTGATTGTTTTTTGTTTTTTCTAGCAATAAACATTACATCCTGATTTGTGTGTTTGTTTGTTTTTCTAGCAATAAACATTAC